CTAAACTAGCATCAAATCCACTTCATCATCAATTAAATCAACATTAATAACACTATTTCTGCGTCTCGCAAACCACCTAACTCCCTCAGTACGATCATAGGCGAATTCAGGATGGCCGCTTGGAGAGGCAACGAGTGAGGCTTCTATCGGCAACAAGCGGGGGCAGGGGAATACGGCTTCCTGCGAAGACCGCGAGGGGGGAGGAGGGGGGATGAAAGGCCCATCGCTCCTCTTCCTCCTAGAACCCCGGCCAAGATTATCATCTTATTTTCGAACCTCAGAAAACACCATGAATTATTTCAAAGATAGATCGGTAGTCAATCATGTTAGCCGAGCCAGAACCATCGTCCGTACGCTTAAAATCCACGGATTAAGCAACCATTAACGTACTGCTAGTTACCGGCGAAGTGCTACAACTGGACACAAGTGAGCCACAAAAATATGAAGAAATTTTGAATTTTAGATAAATTTTGTATTTTAGTTAGACACAAATAAAAAACTTTTTTAGAGAAACTATGAGTGCCAAAAAATGGTACCAAAATCAAAGCTTTAATTTTCACCTTTCTCAGCTTTTTCAGCAGCAAAATGCTTCCAAGATCGTTTCACGGGCACTTTTTTCTCCACTACGAAACGATTTTTTTCCTCATCTGCAAAATGTTTCGGAAAAATTAAGATAGGCTTTATTATTCACGAGCGTGATCTTTTCCAGCTGAAGGCAGCAAAACGGACGACTACTGTTAGAATACCAAGATCACTCGGACTATCAGTGCGGAATTCCCCTGTCAGTGATGTTACTAGAACAAAGAGTGCGAGGAAAGGTGCAGTTCCGTCAGAAATGCTTTATTTGTGACTACCTAAGAGTATGAAAAGCGGTATCAAGTTATACCTGATGCGATTTGTTCCGTTTTAACTGGCTCAAGTCGAGAAATGCCTCGTTTGGCCGATAATCGCCCAGATCTTCTTATTCCTCGCTGCAAATTCCACTGATCGGTGCCATCGTTGACACTCAAACAATCCCTAACTTTGGGTATTGGTGATGTGCTCCGTATCGGGCTCTTTTTTGGTGATCCCGAGCGCGATCTGCCTGCGAAAGTAGCACGTCGTCTCTTTCGTGAACAGCTTTTGAAATCTTTTGACAGCTTTGACTCAAGAATTCTCCAGCCTGTGATGAGCCACTCGAAACCGCAATCAATCAGCTCTCGTTTCATCAGGCTGTCTTCTCGCATGAATTTACCTGCAACGCAAACAAAATCTGTAAATTAAAATCGGTAATAATCTCACCTTTCTAATCTTACATTACCTTCAAT